TACAGATTAAATAAATGTATAATTAATACCATAACTAAATAATATGTTTATCAACAATATAATGTATAGAATAGACAAGTGTATCAATAACACAAGGGTCACTGGATCTACAATTGTTAATGAAATATTATATCAATAATGAATAAGATATTTTAACAGGATACACGTATTTAGGCATTATGGTGTATATATATATCTTACATTCAATGTAGCAAACAATTCGTCCCCACAATTAACCTTTAATACATGTATAATAAAATGAGTAATCATAGTATGCAGAACAAGCATATACAGTATATATTATGCAAGTAACACAGAATTAATTAATAAAATTATAAATATATTATACAATAGAACAAAATTAATTAATGAAGTTAAATAATAATTAAACAGTAATTAAAATAACAAATATTAATAATAATAAATATAGTAAACAAGTTAGAGTACACTACATCAAAAATGCAATCTGCACAAAAGTTTTACTTCAATCAATGATAATCTCCATCCATAAATCAGCCAACAAAGTCCTGTAACTGTAGTATTGAAGTACCTGATTTATCTAAAAGATGCACAGGATGCATGGAATTATTTGATTTGCGTTGCTTGAGGAGCAGGCAAATTTCAGGATTAACTAATGTCTTGGTTGATTCTCCTTGGGAAGTCAAACTAAGGCAGAAAAGCATGAGATGAAGCAGTGCAATCATTCAACGGTGAAAAACAAGGCAGATTACACAATCCATTTCAACCGACAAAAGTTCAGCCACTGTCAGATTGAATTTCTGACATGTGTGTATGTAGTACAAGGCACTTGTAGAATAATAGTTTTGTATTTCTAATAATAGTCACAAGTGCAGATTTCCACAAGTTCATATCAGCCATCATATCACAAATTATGGCTGATTTCCTTCAAAAGTCTAAGGAATGTGTATATACATATGTGGTGCCAAGGATTGTGATTCATAGTAGGTTGCTGAGGGGAGAAAAAATACATCCAACATATCAAATGAAATATCTCTCCATCAATCCATCCGGTGTGGCCAAAAGACTGGCAAAATAATTAAGTTGAGCATATATACAATTAATTTAGCATAAAGAACAGCATTTATTCAGATATATGCCATCAGCCATCACCAACAACAAAGAACACGTTAGACAAAGTGAAAGCAAAGTATTGAATAACAAGCCTAATATCAACCTGAATATCTTATAAAAACAATATAATATCACAGACATCTTAAACACATATCAATTAACATAGCCAATAATTACTAGTCGGTTGCAAAATGAATAGGTTAAGTTGAATGCCAAAGTAACTAAGCATTGATAGCATGTTGAGTAACAAAGTTAACTGTATTAGCTAGTCTTTTAAAAGCGTTGTAAATGTCACAAGTGATTCAAATGTCTGATAACCAACAAGGCCACGTGATGCCATGTTCCTCAAGTAAAAGTCGAAGTTCCAATATATCTTGTTTGATTTTTATGCAATCATAAATATAATGTATAGTGCCGTCCTCTACCAGATATGTAGGACACAAATTAGAATTTCTATTTGCAAATCTCACGAGATAACTCGCATACTTTCCATGGTTTGTCAAGAGCTGTGTGGTACTATGGTTAGGTGTATACCATTTAAGTATAAAAAAATGTGCAATATTTAGGAATAAACTGATAAGTAATATGTTCACTGTTAAGATCCCAATTTGTCTGCCACCTAGAAAGAGTATCTTCCCACAGCAGCCGTAGTAGTGTCCGTTTACTGATTTTATCATATTCAAAAGGTGCAGCAGTGTTCTCTGCAGCCTGCTTGGCTAGGAAATCCGCCCTTTCGTTTCCTTGCACACCTTGATGGGCTCTAACCCATGTTATTGCAAAAATACAGTCTGTTGTCTGCAAAAGGTTTCGAATATTTTCAGCAATTGGATGTAATTTCAGGCTTTTTAAGAGTGTAGGCAGAAAGTGAATCTGTATACAAATGAATGGTTGTTCCAGGAGGATTGATATTTGCCCATTCAATGGCACAGCAAATTGTAAATAGTTCTGCTTGAAATACAGTACAACGATTGCTTAGGCCAAGACTCCACTAGCGTAAAAACCTTCGCCGTAAAAACTTTTAATCACGTGACCTATTTGCATTTGCATCTGAATTGTGGTGGAGGTCCGGCTAGTGAAGTTTTTACGGCGACAGTACTATCGAAGTTATAAAGACAATGATTATATTCTACGAGTTTTTTTCTGTACTATAATTACAAATGTAGTAAAAATAATATCTTTACTTTCATATATTAACTTTTATTATTAATTAAGATAATATACAGCACTTATTAAGCTTAGCTTCTTTCATTATATACTCCTCTAAATTGAAGGTCTTTCCTTTGGCCGTCCGTATCGCATGATTTAGGCATCCATTNCATGCTGAGATCATCATATAGGATGAATAATCCTCTGGTAAAATATTTACTTAAATAATAAATAAGTATTTTACCTATGAAAAAAATGAATAATAAATCTGATTTAAATAAGGATTTAACAACATGTTTTTTAATTTTTGAAACCTAACCCCCCCTTTCACGCTAGTTCTTTGTTTCGTATAACACGGAAATTTTTTGGAACGTAACTCCCATGTTATTTGGGGGTTAACTGTAGTTCAGACATCAGTGCAATAATAGCAGATAAATAGGCAGCAAAATGAGATATAACTTGAATCAATTCACATTTTTCACCTTATGCAAACCCTCTAGTGTTTAAAAACAAAGCTATTTTTATCTTGGTCATTTGAATCATTCTTGTGTTTCAATACTTCAAGAAGTCTGTCTATGAAAAGAATCAATTTGGATATTAATGTCTGGATATTAACCAATAATAACCAGACATTTAATAACGAGTTTGGTCACACAATTACTTCCAGTTGGCTCACGCAAAGAAATAACACCCATTTTTGAAGATGGTATCAATCAAAAAATGCATGGAATAGTAACAATTAAAAAAAAAAAACCCAATAATTGATAGACCATTTAAATATTACAAAAAAAACTTTTTTTTTTAAATTTTACAAATGTAAACTATGACATTACCAATTATTTTTCTATACTACATAAAATTTCAATATTCCCACTAGATATAGTGTATTATCCATTACACTGTAAATTTTGCTTCTGAATAAAGGGCATGTTGCCTGGGATAGTAGATTTAACACAGCTGGATAACCAAGCCAGGGCTACATCATTAGCTTGCTTATCCAAATGTATAAAACTGTTTTACATGTAATGTGCAGAAAGACTTCACAGAACTTAATAGGTTGTTCAGCAGCTGCCAAGTTTGATTTAAGAAGGGACAATGTTGAGACACAAAATTTTGTTCAACTTTAGGAGTAGAAAAATACATGTATTATGTAGGGTGTTTGCCAGGACCAACAATCCAGTTCAACTTAAAACAATTTGAAATTAGATTTATATTATATTTGACTACATAATGAACTTGATCTTATGCATATGTAGACTAATGAACATCATTTCCATTCTTATTCTGGCAGACTCTAGTTAATAGCAACAGGCATTATAATAAAAACAAACTCCCCAACTTTTTAACCACCCACTGTGACTAACATCAAGGGTTAATGCCCTTACCTTTGCGGGGGAAATAGTCGAAACAAATCATTCATAAACAAATTTATCTTATTCTGCTTGTTTAATATAATATTGTTATATTGAATTCTTGCTCAAATGCTTAAACTCGAAGACATTCTACAATCCATACTCTGTCCAATACCAAACTGAAGTTTTAAAGCATTTTCCTTTATAATATTAGACTTCACTTCTCATTTATTTCACACAATTCAAATTGCTAAATTCAGTGCCAAATCAATTGGACGAATTATTTAACAGAAATATATTCATCGTGTGCCCGGCGTTCAATAATTTCCCCAACAAACACACTGCACTTTTCTTTAGAAATAACCACAATAAACTATTCACATAATTGCACTATTTTCAATATCAAAAACAAGGAGAAAAAACACCAAAAACCAGTGGTTTTTCTCTGGGTCTGCATCAAAATATGTTCAATTTGGTAAGAATAATAAAGACAATTAGAATGTACTTGTATACTTGTAAAAACATTGTATTAGATTACAACTTTAGTATGTATTAAAAAAATGTTCAGATCGAAACTAAGTGATTAATAATACTTGAATTGTGTGCCAATAAGAAAATGTATAAAGCAATTTCATAATTTCACGATAAGAATTATAACATTTATTTTAGCTTAAAGGAAATTTGTATATTACCTTAAGTGGAATTACGAGGGCGGTTTTTTAATCTCCCGACAGTCCAAAAAACAAAGACAAGTGTAAATAAAATAAATTTACCGTATTAACAAAAGTTAGGTACAAACACGGTTACTTTTTGACATAATCACCATGAAGGTTGAGGATTTGTCATATCTGTAGACAAGCTTTTCCATTCCCTCTTCATAAAATGTTGTCCCATACCTAACTTTTGGTAGTAAGTTTATTTTGTTAATTACACTTGTCTTTGTTCTATGGACCATTGGAGATTAAAAAAACGGCCTATGTAGATTATTTCATATTCGAAAATTATTAATACTCAAATAATCATACATTCCAATTAAATCCAAGACACATTAAAATTTATCCCCAGAAACACTCAGCAATAAGGAGATAATTTGTCCTTTTTTTAAGTCAAGGAAAAATCTCCATCTTGTTGAAAGTTTCATGTAATTGATAATACAAACCAACGAAAGCCATTTTAACAATAAGAATAAGACGTTGAACTATATAAATAGGATTTTTATAAATAATCGATAGCTATGTATTAGCCACGTATATGAATTACACGTGATTATCAAATAAATTCATTTCAAATAATAATAAAACACAGAAGATTAGTAACAAATATTTGCTCGAATTTCGATCGATTAAAGCGGAGAAAATAATATATATGAACAGATTGAAAGAGATTAAAAATAACACACGAACAACTCACCATTTTCAATCCAATAGGACTCGCCTGTTCACGCGTACGACGAGACTAAACTGAATTTTAGTGTTGCCAGTCTTATTCGATAAATGGAAATATAAAACACATATTTTTAAATAAAACATTTTATTTTTATTGTGATTCATCTATTAACATAAAATAAATATAATATTGTTAAAACTGATAATATACGAATGATAAACATTTAAAATTATATAATTACTAGAAATTCTCCCGTCAAGTGTGACGGACTACTTTCTATGAGAAAATAGATCGAAGAATTGAGAATACTGTAGTACAGATTTCAATAAATTCAAGAAGAGTAACTAATATTTCTACAAATTCAATAACTTATACTGTCCGTCGGATCATAATTGAAGTGCAATAATACATTTTAAATAACAAGGAATCTATTCTGAGTTTTTTAAAACTCTTTCCGCCCTTTGAGCACTAAGAGGGCCTCTTTTAGCTAGCTCGTTACGGGTTCGACCAGGCCCACAATGATGCGGCCGGGTGGTGAGGGACGGGGCCCGACGTATCTGGAGGGACTGCTCTCCGAAAAATTCCTGGGGATCTTTCGTTGTTGTTGTCGGTTAAGTTATGGCAACGCAACACTTGGGCGATCTGCATAGGAAGGGAAGCCTTCCGGGAGGACTTTTTAAGGGCAACTGCCCCTATTTAGGCGTTACAGACGTGGAGGAAACCCGGAAAACTCCACTCGGCCAGCCCGTTCGAGCGAGACGCAAACCCACGATCAAAACTCCCAGTGTTTGGGGGTAGGAAGACCGCTCGGCCACTGGTGGGCCTAAGAATCTTTCGACCCGTCCGGATTCGATCCCGGGTCCCCAGAGCGGTAGGCTGCCACCTTAACGGCTCGGCCATCCGTCCGCAATTGTAAAGGGTAGGTATAGGGCCTCACACAGAGTTTAGCTTAGGACGGACCTCTAAATGCCTAAATCCGGTCCCTGGCTAGAGCCGGATTTTTAACTAGTATCTGGAACTGACAAGTTGTAGTTCGCTGGCTGCGTTGTCCCTTCTTTGATGACATTTTAACAGAAAAATATTTGGCTAGCGCCGGTACACGACAATACTAAAAAACGCGCTCGGTTTGGAAAACGGAGGGTCGTAGTCACATGACAAAAATACAATGTTAACTGAATTGTGATAGTTAAAACGTAACAGCTATCGATAGCGCGGAACACAGACGCGTATCAACCGATTATCCGAGCGAAACTCACTTAGTAGCGCAGAGAATAGCGATTTGTTAACTGATTTTCGAAGAAGACTTATCGAATGTCCCGTGTAACGTTTTCTTTTAGTTATTGGAAATGCTCAGAATAGGTTCCCAGCCTCGTTAGATCTTTATCTATCACGTATCGGGTTTAACACAGTATGCTTATCCTCCGAAGAGCCGGTCGAAACTTTTTCTGCTCGACCATGCGAAATTACTCGCCAGGAGCCGGGAAATTCCTTCTGGAACACGAACGTCACTGCAACGTAAGTGCGATCACCGATCCGAAATCGCTAAAACGTTTATTCTATAGCTAATATTTTGGCAAAATAAGTAGTCCATACTTTTAATCGGAACATAAAACGAATATAACCAAAATGTCGTCGGGATTGAACAAAGACTGCGGGAGTTATAAGGAATTTACACACAGCCGACGGCTTTTACATTATTAAAATGCTATACATAATTAAATATATACATTTATTTATCTTAATTTGGTGTACAGTAGCGTTTGTTTGGAACGAGTGATTATCGTCTCATTATAACAAACCCATTTAAAAACCTACAAATAATTAAAATTGCTAAGACGTTGTCAAAATGATGTCCGAGGCTTTCCGCATCATACTCGTCACTTCGATCATTCCCATCGTAGTCGAACTCACGACAGGCAAGGAAAAGGGCCTTCTTAGGAGGCCCGTAGGAGAAAGAGTTAAAAATGATTTTAAAAATTGCCCATCGATATCGTTGCCGATTCTGGAAATAGTACGAGAAGGAAAAGAGACACGAGAAAATGCCATTTCTCGTCTCGATAATTTATACTACAGTAGTCTATTTGGTAAGTTAAAGGTTTTGTGTCATCCGAGATTTTTTACGATTCCAAGTAAGTTCGCCACTCAATGAAAAGAAATATAGAATATCTCCCGTCATATTCACCACATTTTCTGACGAGCAAATCTCATTCTTTGCAGCGGATACTCAACGCAGTACGGTCAATAAGCTGACAATTTTTATAATTTATCGTAAGATTTGTTAGATAATGCGTATTTTTATTCAAAGTTGAACTTTCGAGAAATCAGTTTACTCAGAGTTTTCAATTACGAACCTTTGACAATCGATGAGTTGAAATGGAGTCGATTGTTATCTACTCGTCATTTTCTGTGACTATACGATAGACCCCGATTTTACGAACTAATGAATTTCTAGAAACTTTCAGATCCAGAGATGTCCCAATTCGGCTTACGACGGTTTATTTAAAAAACCGTCATAAGCCGAATTGGGACATCTCTGGATACAGCAAAAGCCAGCGCTCTTTTGAAATTTCATTACGGTGTAGTCGTAATGGTAAAACTGCATCGTCAGAAAAGCGGAGTATTTCGTATATAAATCGATACAAAATTACTGTCGTAAGCCGTCTTTCGCCTTTTCCATCGTCCGCGATATCCCCACCTTCCTTTAGTTTTAAGAATATTTGTCAAGATTACGATTGGCCGTGATACGTAAATATTGACTTACATTTATTTACAAAAGTAAAGTTATTACTCTTATTTAAGGCCCACCAATGGCCGAGGGGATAGCGCCGTTAAATGACGGCCGGATGGCCGGGCAGCTTTGGCGAACCCGGGATCGAATCCGGACTGATCGAAAAATCCCTAAGAATTTTTTGCGTCCGACAGGATATGTCGGTTCCCGTCCTTCACCGTCCGTCTCGTTGCGGGCCCGGCCGAACCCATAACGGGCTGGCTAAAAGAGGCCCTCTTATTGCCCGCAGGCGAAAATAGTTAAAAAAAGCAGTACCACTAAACACTGGTAGTCGGTCGTCGCGGGTTTAAGTTGAGTTTTCTATACGTTTGTAACATCTAAGTAGGGGTCAGTTTTCCTTAGAAAACCTCCCGGAAGGTATCCCTCCTTGGACACATCGCCCGCGTGTCGCGTTGCCGTATACAAATAAACCAAATTACTCTTACGTCGTCGTTCTTTTTTCCGTTTTTCACTGTATAATATTCAACTTATGTATTCAGTATCGCGATTAGGTGATTATGTTCGTATCAATTAGCTTCGTCATATAATTATTCATTGTTACTTACTGCCACCAGCGATGGCACCCGTGACACTATTTTTTACGCTACTCTATAGGTATGTAGAATAACGCAATAGAGTAGATTTTTTTAAACTTTCCTCTCTGCGGACACTAAGAGGGTCTCTTTTGAGGTGCCCATTACGGATTCGGCCGGGCCCGCAACGAAACGGTCGAGTTGCGAAGGACGAAACCCTAACATAATCGGACGGGCCACCGTCCGAAAAATTTCCGGGGCTTTTCCGCCCGTCCCGATTCCATCCCGGGCCCTTCGCAGCGGTAGGCCGCCGTCCGGCCGTCCAATAGGATAGACTAACAAGTAAGAAGGAAACCGAACGGGAACGCCTACAAAACAAATATGTTATATGCAAATTACTGTTTTATTTTAATTTTATTTAATTTTGTAATCTTTTAAAACGGCCGAAGCCATTAAAGAGTCGACTCTCCATTTAAAAAGGAAGAGAAGAATTGTTCGCTTTCCTTAGAATGGCGGCCTTGGAAATCGTGGCAATTTAGTTCGGATCGGACGTTCGAAGGTGGTAAAAATTGCAAAAATGCGATTAAATCGGAACGAAGAAACCGTACCGAATTTTCGGTCGTAGCTTCCGAAAATCGAATCGATATATTTGATATTCGTAACAAGATGTCCGCGCACGAAATAGCAAATAAATATGAATTTGAAATTTTACCTTAGAAAATATCGAGTTTTATATAGATCAGTTTATACGCATATAATAAAATACAGATGTATCTCAAATTAAATACCTTCCGGTGCAAATTATATCGTGTTTGCTAACTTAAAGGATCCGAGATGGAATTCGGGCAGTCGAAAAGCTCCAGAAATTTTAACGGACGGTCTACCCGGGATACGCCGGTCCAACACAATTATAAGCGTTTATAGTTCTTTCCGCTCCGCGAGCGGTAAGAATTATAAACGATAAATAAATAAATGAAAAGTTAAAAAGACAAGCGCGTAAATACACGCGTAACAGCTTTTTAAATATCTAAGTCCGTAAAATTCAATTTTAACGGCATCTTGTTATTACATTACATTACTATTACACCTATACCTCGTATCGTTGTACCCGCTTGGGCCATCGACTTTCGCTTTAATTTCAAACCGGATCCGAGAATCTTTAACCGGACGTATTCGTCGAACTCGGACAGACAAACTAACGAATGTTTCGCTAAGGCCAAGTACTTTTTAAGCGCCCGATAAGGAAAGAAAGCCGCGCGGTGATAAATTAGGCATATTTTTAATTAACGCGACTTTAATTCTTTCCAACAAAATTTATAATTAATGAATTTGAAAATTTCGCCCGGATTATTAAATTCGGAAAGATTTACGCGGAGAATTAATTTTTCTAAAAAATTTCATTTTCGTCTCCGTAGAAAAGAACGTCGATTTAAACGATATTTTTATAACATTATCATTAGCGATAATCGTCGTCGGCCCAACGGATAAGGTAAAAAATCATTTTTAAAAGGAAATAACGGAAAATATAATTGGTGTTAATTATTCTTCCCCCAAAGAATTACGAATTCCGCGCTAAAGATGGCTGGTATAATTTAAGGTTAATTAGTCGAAAATAGCCCGGACACGTTCACGTAACGATAAAGAATCGTTAACTCTTCATTATTCCTTATTCATTTGAATTATTATATTATAAATAACGCTACCAATTTGCATGCCACGCGCGATCGTTCGATAACGGTAACGCGGTACGACAGCGGATATCGATTATACGGAGCATCCCCTCTCGAAACGATGCCGCATTTCTAGTCGACAGTAATTTGTAGGTCTTTAATACGGTTTGTTTCCGATCGGATCGACGGTATGACGCAACGGCCGATCTACCCGGGGGGTGCCGTCGGGAAGTTGGCCCTATTTAGGTATTAGACGAGTGAAGAAAATGGGAAAACTCCGTTCGGCCGGACGGAGTTTTTCCCTTCCAACTATTGGTGCCAGTTCGCGCCTAATACTTTATCGCCCCACCACCGGCGGGTCCTTTTATCGGCTTTAAAGTTCCCCGTCTTCTTTCCATCTTCAATTTGTAAATTGGAGTCGGCATCGACCGGCGTTAATTACAAGAAATTACGTTCGCGTAATTAAAATACGCTTCGAATTCTGTAAGAGCGATAGACGGGCAAACGAGCATTTTTATTCATTTATGTACAATTTTAAAAGGATTATTTCAATATATATATACTTAATGTACGGAGATAATCGTTTTAAAATTGGGAGGAAGAGGAGACTCCCGGTCGTCTTCGCGACTTGGACGAAATCCATCGAATGGTAAGTTATCAATTTTCAAATTTTGTTTTCTTCCATTCGAACGAGATTAAATTCTTTTCCGATTTCTTCCATCGACAATTTTAGCATAAATATTCCATATCGATATTAAAGAAACGAAACGAAGAATAAGGGGAACGCGGTCCCGTAAAGGACCGGGATGCGTAGAAATATTTCGATTTTTCTAAAAATAAACATAAGAAACCACTCTCTTCTATCTTAAATGATTTATATTATCGTTTTGGTCGTGTCCGATCCGAGTATTTCCTTGGGATTTAGGCCCGGCGCGGTATAAATGGGCTATAAACGTTGCCCCCGTCCGACCTCTTAATTTAAGGTCGTCCACGTTTTATCGACGGTCCCGTCTTACTAAATTCTCCAGAAATACCATTTCACCAATTGCGTTTTACGTTCGACCATTGAATTTCTGTTTCCAATTTTCTTACATCCGAGGACTTCCCTGAATTCGGCTTTTTGGTCAAATCGCACTCCGGCCAGTTTTGCGCCGCAATACGAATATATTTACACAAAATAATATAGAAATTCGACTTTAAATTTCTGTGGAAAATTTATTCCGAGTCTAATCTTTCCGCTCCGGCTCTATTCGAATTTTAAATATCATTTCCGCTTTGTTAAGAAAGTAGCCAAGCGTCGTCTCCCGCGCTAAGACTCGCCGCATCGAGCCGAAATCATCCGTTTTTAAAGTATCTTTCGGGCGTGGCCATCGAACGGTCATTCGTCTTCGATTATCCCGCGCCGCGGCCGTCGGTAGTCGCACTAATTCCATCTGTCGACCGAGAAACAAAGCGACACGTTCGTTTAAATTTAATCGCGGATGGTCCAACTTTTTATTCTTCGATTGATATTTACAACCGGTTTTTGAAGGGGACCCTGAAGAAGAAAATTTCAATTAATAAATTTTGTTACTATTATTTCTATTAAATCGCATACGGATACTGCAGCTGCTTAATAAAAAAATAAAAGCAAAATTATTTGACAATACTGTATTTCACAGGATTCAAGAATACATATAGTTAATATTCTTATCGCTATAAAAAAAATTCTAAATTATTGGGAGTTCCCTTTTACTTTCAATTAGAAGAAACACGAGAATACGAGGGTTGTTCAAAAAGTTCCCCAACTTTATTTATTACGAAAAAAAATACTTCACATATTTGCCATGGTTCCCTTCAAAGTAGTTTCCTCCGCAACCTATACACTTATTTCAACGGTGTTTCCACTTTTTGAAGCAGTCCTGGAACGCTTCTTCCGGAATGCTCGTAAGCTCCTCGGTCGTTCTTTTCTATCTCTGGAATGGTGGCAAATCTTTTTCCTTTGAGCGTGTTTTTTAGTTTGTTAGAGAACAGGAAAAAGTCTCTTTGTGTCGAGTCAGGTGAGCAGGGGGGCCAAAAACTCACGAGTTCCGAGGGCCGGCCGTTGTCGTGACGAAAAAAAAACCACTCGCCGCTCCTCCAAAGTTCGGGCCGTTTTCGCCCGATTCCGTCTCTTAGGCGTGTCTTATTTCGTTATAAATTAGAATTGTTCATACACTTTGTGTCGGAAGCTTCTCGTCCCGTTCAATCGTATTTCTTAAATCAGTATCGTACAGAACGCGTTTTAAAAGAGCGTGGCAAAATCGACCAGTTCGAACTGTGGTTTTAGTACGCGTTTCGGCGTAAACCCCTCTTCGACCGTCGAAAACTTTTTACAAAACCGATCGCCCAGGAAAATATATTTTTACTTTAATATTAACGCACAAAAGCGTACGAAATCTTGTAAAACGAGTTTATCCGGGAGAACTTACCGCGAAATTTTTTTTCCGCAGTAATATCGAAATTGGCGGTTTTTTTCCAACCGTCGGGGTAAAGGTAATACGTAGTCGACGAAACGCGATACCGCCGAACCGTCCGTTTGCCGGGTCGACTAACTTTCCCTATTTTTTAAAAGCTTTTAAGTCGACGAGCGCCGCCTATTACGCAANTTCGGGCCGTCACCGTGGGCAGAATGGGAATATCTGCAAAAGCCAAAAATCAGTGGGGTGTGGTCGGACCGCGGCCAGAACCCAGGACGGCACTCACCTATTTTGACGGTGGCGGTTTTTTTCCAACCGTCGGGGTAAAGGTAATACGTAGTCGACGAAACGCGATACCGCCGAACCGTCCGTTTGCCGGGTCGACTAATTTTCCCTATTTTTTAAAAGCTTTTAAGTCGACGAGCGCCGCCTATTACGCAATTTTACGATAAAGGAAGGGACCCGTTTCTCGTCCGCGGAAAATTCCAAATCACCCCAACGGTATTCTAACTCCGTTTCGAGTAGGACGCTACCTATTTATACAAAACGAAAAAATATTAAGTTTTTCTCTCCCTTCGAATAATCGTTCGATTCCTCCATCGAACGGTTTTTATCTTCTTCGTTGGCTAAATTCAAAATTACATTTACATTTTCGCGGGCGTAACTTTGAAAATTTGTCCGGAGGAGAATTTACCTCCCGAAGCTTGGCCGCCAAAACTACCATTCTTCCTAACGTAGACAACATTTATAACGCGTTTTCTTAGATATTCGAAGGTAGCCGATTTTATCTTCGGCGCGCGAAAATATCTCCGTCCCCGGACGAAACGTGGCGGTCGGCCGTTTCCATTACCTTTACTAGTAGCGAACGCGCGATAAATTCCGGCTTGGGATGTAAAAGTCGCCGCCGCCATTTAAATTTATTAGCCCGGGAAAGAACGGAAGTCTTGGCCCATCCAATCGAGCGGAAGAATCCACGTTCTCTTCTACCACTCTTAACAGAAAAAATAACGGTCCGTATAGGGCCGCGTTAAGTAAGGCGGTACTCCCACTGGCTCTAGTAGACTTACCGCGCTTACGAATGTAACGACCGCCGGTGCCGGACTAAATAACTTCATTTTTAAAGACGAAATTAAAATCGTAATCTTCGTTTACTTGGACTCGGTCCGCCGGCAAAGAATAATCGCTTAACAACGCCGAGAATTCGGCGGATTATCGTAGGAAGCGCCATCTTCATTCCGGACAATACTGGCTTAAAATAACTTAAACCTAAAATATTACCGCACAATTCGAACGTAACAACGCATTTTGTTATTCGAACATTTCGTAAGAATAAATCGAACTTTCTAAATTCGTCGCGGTCGTAAATTCGAAAGTAAATTTACAATATTCTCCCGGTTATTTACCAGCGGACGTCGAAATTCGGTAAAACGTCTCTCGTTTCGCGTTAAAAGGAATAACGAATTGGCAATTTTCGAAGAAGAATGGTACATTTTCTAAATTTATCGGCCGGAAAAAATTTAAGTTTAAAAATAGGAGGAGGGAGATTTCATTTTTCCATCCTCGTCTTTCCGTTCGAGGGTAACAATCGACGAAAACCGATAGGTTCCACCAAACTTTTACGCCGCCGAAATCTTAAGCGCTACAACTTAAATTATATAAACGGTAAAAATCGGTGGAATTCGTTTAGGACCGACCGGGTGAGGCGATAAACAAACTCCTTTTAAATAAGTTTGTTCTTTTATCAATGGTTTTACAGAAAACTAAAAGAAAAAGCAAATTTCGTTTTCCTTTTATAAAGTATATTAGTTAAATTTATAAAAATATATTGATATTTGCGACAATTTCAATCCCTCTTCCGATAATTGTTCGATAGATAATAACCGGCTTTTCGCTCCTCCCAAAGGTACGAAGGCGCCATTCGGAATCCGCCTAGGTCCGGGGGTGGACGGAAGTACTTAACCGCCGCCCTTTTCTTACGTTTACCCACCATCTCCCGCCTCCCGGATTTTCCGTCTCTTCTTTAAATACGGAACGGTCGACGGCGATTTTAGGCCTACTCTCCGGGCTTGGGCCCGCGTTCGCTCGAACGGGCGTCTTAAAAATGGCTGGACTCCGTTCCGCGGGAAACGGTGTAAGGTATAACGCGGCAGTCGCGTACCCATCGAGCGCCGCACGAAACGACATTTACGCAGGGTAGCCGTATTTTTAACTCTATAATCTTTTACGTCGGATATAGTATTTCCTACAGCCGACTGTTTAACCGGGCGCTTCGGGTGGAGGTAAATTCTCCACCTGTCTTCGGCGCCGTAGAAAATATTACACCCGACGTAAAGAATTATACAACTAGAAACTCGCGCCAGTTAGCAAAAGTAACTTTTCCGTTACCGGGAGAAATTGTTGGTCGAAGCCGCGGACCATTCGCTCCCCCCGTCCGTAATTAACTAACGACGGCGGTTAAAAATACCGTAATAGGCGCGAATATTAGTTTTACTCAAACCGGAGCCTCTTCCTTTTACAAAGTATGGCCGCGGGAAATATCGGCAACGTCTTTACTTTTTTCATTTTTACGTACGACAAGAAATGTTATTAATGGAAAATTTGTCGGGTGGAGGAACAGGAGATTTTTTGCGGCATTTGTGTCGGAATACCGAGATACGATTACTTACCTACGGTTAAGAGAAGGTCGATAACGCTTACGAAAAAACGCGGAAGAAAATTTTACCAAATACGGTAACGGCTAAAATCCCCAAGCGAATAATCGTTAAACCCGACGAAAGGCGCGAAACGAATGGAAAATCGGCCGTCAAACTTCGGACCGAAATAAAAAACGTTTAAAAATTGTCAATTTTGTACGGGGATCTCCCCATTTTCCAACCGCGTACAATTAAACTCGGACGCGGAGCGAACCAAAGAACTTTCACGCGGAAAATGTACCGTACCTTAAGTACAGACTCTTAAAACGCCATCTGTCGGTACGAGCGCCAAACTACGACCGACTACCGGGCTTACCGCGGAAACGGAAAGAAGGCGGAGCGCCACTATTTTTCCATAGATTTTATTTCAAACAGACTTAACTAATATTTACAAAACGGATAAAGTGCGACCGGGCCTTCGACGTTCCCGCCCCGGGCCGCGCCGGAGCCGCCCGCCCGCCGCCACCGATTTTAAAAAAACAAAAGCCGGACGCGCCCGGGATTATGTACAGTGCGAATGGTGACGGACGCCGGTCGGAGACGCGCCGCCGGAGCCACCTTCCGGACGTTTTCCGGGGCGGCGGAGGATGACCCAGACCTTTCCACCTCCTACGCTTTTACCTCCCGGCAAAATTCGCGGAGAGTTTCGTCTCGGTCGACGGACATTCCGTTTCTCTTCCGGGAAAAACTGTAATTTCCCTCCGAGGGGCCGGGCGGGAATCGCAGCGCTCGGCGGCGCCCAGGACCGGAGGGGTTTCGGGTCCTCCGTCCTTTACGCAAAAAATGGGATTTTCCGCCCCGCGTCGGCGGGTGGAAAACGTCCGAAAGGTTCCGCTTTCCCTTCCTTTCCATCGACACGAGTGAAAAAATAAGCTTAAAAGCGCGTTCTTTTGATTTCTTCCCATAAAATCGTTCCGAGATTTCCGGACGGCCGGGGCGGAAAACGGTTAAAAATCGCCGGAAGTTGCGCCCCCGCGACGATAAAACGGAAACTCTTCGTTTTCCAACCAGCCGGATTCTTCGGCCCGCCCCGTAACCACTTCCGGCGCTCCTGGCCGGGCCCGACGTTCCCGGTCCAACCCCGGCCGTCGTCTCCGGCGGAGGCTCGACGCGCGCGCTCGGGGGGCGTCGACGCGCCACGGCCCACCGCTACAAAATTTAAATTACCACGTCACGCTGGATACTTACACGCTATTTACAGGGCGCCGCGGCGGAAGACGACGCGCGGTCTCTCCCGGCGGCGGGCAGAAACGCGCGCGTCGTCGACGTGACGCCGCTCCGCAAATTCCGCGGCGCGGAGATATGTGGCCGCCCCCCGGGCCGGAGGGCGGGGGGCGATTTCTAATAAATAAATTAAACCGGCGGAGAAAGAAGAGCGGAGAGAGGGGGGAGAGATCAGAGCTCGAAAAACAAACGGATGCAAGAGGAATAAATACTGCCGCATCCCAGAGAAACGGGCAGATCCAAAACCAGGGTGACGTTTTCGCTTTCTACCGGAGGAGGGCGAAGAGGAGGGAGAGGCGGAGGGGGCCGGCGTCCGGAAGCGTCGGCTCGAGACGACGCCCCCACGCCGCCGAAAGCCGCCTCCAGAGTGACCAGGGTGAAGTCTCCCGGGAATCATAAATCCGGGAATCTGTTGGGGTCTTCTTGGTACTCGGAGGGTACGTCGAACAGGGCGTCGGCCAGGTCTTTGCGGAAGTGGAAATCCTGAAAGGTGATTCGGGCCGTCACCGTGGGCAGAATGGGAATATCTGCAAAAGCCAAAAATCAGTGGAGTGTGGTCGGACCGCGGCCAGAACACAGGACGGCACTCACCTATTTTGACGGGAAAGCCGGAGGGCAACTTCATCTGAACGAACTCCCGTAACTTATTGAAGTGTTTGAAGGGCGCGATGACCTCCAGAACGTTCAGCAGACTGAAATGCGGGAAAAACAGACGGTTAGAAGAGTCGGGCGGCGCGGGCGCGTAACGGAAAAAGAAAAACATCAACTTACGCGTCGACCGAGAGAGGAAATTCTTCGCTCTGTAAAGCAGAAAATTCGGCGAATTAGCACCGGACCACCTTCGATTTCTACTTGTAAATATTAAGACCGAATTGCCCGCGGGCCGAAACCCGAAGATACCACGCGCGGTTCCTTTTTCGCCGTCGACGGATAAGAAGGAAAAGGGTTTACCATGGCCAGTGTGGCTTTAAACACTTTCGACGTCTCTTTGCACATCATGCTTCGTCCCAAGTGGCAGTTCTTTCCCACCGGCGCGTTGACGTATTCCTCCCAACTTATTCGAGACACCTTCGGAGGCTGTAACGACTTTCTCCTCTGCGGCTGCCAACAAAAATATTATTATTTAACCACGGTCCGAAAAGACAAAACCTAATTGCAGTCTATTCTGTCGGAATCGGAAAAGTCTCCCGTTTCCATCGTCGCGGCCGTTTTACGGGAATGTCCGACACATGGGGACAGAACATTTTTTATCCTCGGTCAATTACTGAAATTATCGGTCCCCTCTTCTTAGCCGCGGTCGAATTCGAGGGTGGGCTACGTCCGTTCTTTTCTCCACGGATTACCCCAAATACGACGATAAACCCTGGCCGGACACCTCCTTTACGTTTAGCCAATCCGAGTACGAGAAAGTTAATTCGTCGGTAAAAAGTAAAAGGAAATTTCGGCTACCGGCTTCGTTGAGCGCGAAATATCACGAGTAAATAGGAGAATTTGTACAATTTAAGGCTTACCTCCGAACCGTCCAAATTGACGGAATTTCCCTTTGTAAAACTTTCGATTATTGCTTTATTTTTTTGTAAATCTTCTTCCGTTAAATGTTCTCTCCTGGAATTAGAAACCGTTTCAGCTTCGTCACTTATTGTTTAAATTACAAAACTTCCATCGACATTGCGTCGTCACTAAATAAACGAAATTTAATGTCGTAACACACAACTCAAATCCTAATTGAAAAACAACAGTAGTTATTCCGGCTATAACGACGGATTACAATATTTATTTATTTATTCCTTAAAAGGAGATTGATTAGCTTACTTTATTTTATTGGAAAAGAAAATAATTACGCATGGGGTACATTTTATTTTCCCGGCCGTTACGTACACGTAACCGGGGAAATTTTTGGAATCGTTTTTTGCCTATCTCCGGGTTTTGACACTTCCCGAATCCAAACGAGTCAAAAAATTTCCGTGGATGCGTGTGTGTCGACTATTTCTATTTCGCTTAATATCTCGGGATTAAGTAACGAAATTTGGCGTAAGCCGGGGACATCCATGCTATTCGAGTTTGGTGGTTAAAGATCGAAGGGTGGAAAGTAAAATAAGTCGCGCGTATCTCCGGTAGGTCGGACTTAACGACGATTTTACTGCTTATTAACATTTACACTTTTTTTTTATATATATAAAACTAGTCCCTACCCTCAAAATTAAGCGTTTTGCCACTTTACAGTAATTAGCGTCGGCTAGAGCGGCACGACTGAAAAATGTGAGACCACGGAGAGAATCCTTCGTTGGAAAAAGCCAAAAATCGTTAGGAGCGAGGTCTTGAGAGTAGGGAGCGTGAGAAACCACTTCGAAGTCGTTTTCGCCAAGAAACCCGTGTGTAGCATTGCCCGAAGAGCTGGGGTATTGTCTCGATGAAAGAGCGCGCGTACAGCCTTTCCCGGCCGTTTTTCTAGCCACGTTCGAAGCAATTCGTGATGGCAACGCGATTGCGCGCGTGAAGCAACTGGTTCCAAGCGTGCACTGGTGTCAGACCGGCTGGCGCGCGGGCGATGCGCCCCGTATTTCACTCCGAGTCAAATAAAATTACTGTAGCGAGTGTTATATGTTAAAGATTAATTAACCCGAAGAACTCGGCTTCTATTTTCCTATTACGCGGTTTCTTGCGAGAAATCGAACGTATTTTTAGACCTATCTAAAAATTCTCTAATTAGTCTTGGAAGAGGATGAATCTAATTCTCGCATCTGGTAAAAACGGTTAAGACTGTCTATAGAACTATGAAGGTTATCTTAAGTAAGTTGTTTATCGCACCGAGTGACCGATCTAACACGTTTTAAAACTTCTTACTCCTCTATTGTACGCAACTTAAAGAATTTTTAAAATGGGGTAGATCGGGCGCTTGTGATAAACTCTTACGTAAGATAACCTTTGTAAATATAAATCAAATACTATAATGTAATACGATAGAAGGGATAGAAGTACGAAATAATCCATTATTATTAATCTTCGCTGCGGTTATTTTTTTGTCCGAGCGACGCTGGGCTCGTCTCCTAGTTGATAGACTAAATATTGACTATCAATGTAAAATTTCGTTGTTAAAATGCCGGTCGTATAGTAATTTTGACTAACTTTTGTACCGATCTGCAGATTCTCCGTACCCGATAAATGTGACCGTCGTCAAGCACCTTAAACCTGAAAATAAAACACTTTGCATTTATTGCCGTTTGAGGACATTAACTTCCCGTGGCTGCGTATTATAGTGTAAGCGTATTTGGAAGCTAACTACTTTCCAGTTTGATGTCTCGAAAACCACTGCACGTTCTACTCGACGGCCAGCGGAATCCACATATTGCTGCAAACAGCACTATAATGCATTTATACACGAGCGTATAAAATATCCAAGCCCAACTGGTATTAGCAATTAAATTTCTGTATTTGGCTACATTTATCGGGTTTTAGAGCGAGACTACCCCTAAAACACTATTGCATCGCTGTCGGACTTCGGCAAGTCCTCGAAGTTAGAAGTGGACAAAATTTGATTTGCAAGATTCGAAGATGCGATACGCCGCGAGTTAACAGAAGCATTCGACGATAAAGAATCTTAAAATGTCAATAATCAAAACTTAATTACACCCATTTACACCATTGTATAAAGTCGAAGAAATACTTATTACTTATATACTGACCTCTTTCGTGATTCTAATAAGAGTCCATTAATAATGTAGAAATCTGCTAAAAATGGTCCGACCATCTCCTGAAATAAACAAACAAAACAGTTTATGCTAATCTCCACTCCAGTTTAAATGATTACTTAAGCATAATACACACCAAATACAAAATAAACTTTTAAATTTGACATTTTATCAGTCACAGAATAATTCTTTAAAATACATTATTAAGTATTTAAGTTTATATAATATTAAAACATATTTCGGCGTAAGAAAAAAATAAATATAAAACTTCATTTGCTTTAATAAAATATTTATGAAATAAACAAGGCACACATTTACTCAAATNGAAACCCGTGTGTAGCATTGCCCGAAGAGCTGGGGTATTGTCTCGATGAAAGAGCGCGCGTACAGCCTTTCCCGGCCGTTTTTCTAGCCACGTTCGAAGCAATTCGTGATGGCAACGCGATTGCGCGCGTGAAGCAACTGGTTCCAAGCGTGCACTGGTGTCAGACCGGCTGGCGCGCGGGCGATGCGCCCCGTATTTCACTCCGAGTCAAATAAAATTACTGTAGCGAGTGTTATATGTTAAAGATTAATTAACCCGAAGAACTCGGCTTCTATTTTCCTATTACGCGGTTTCTTGCGAGAAATCGAACGTATTTTTAGACCTATCTAAAAATTCTCTAATTAGTCTTGGAAGAGGATGAATCTAATTCTCGCATCTGGTAAAAACGGTTAAGACTGTCTATAGAACTATGAAGGTTATCTTAAGTAAGTTGTTTATCGCACCGAGTGACCGATCTAACACGTTTTAAAACTTCTTACTCCTCTATTGTACGCAACTTAAAGAATTTTTAAAATGGGGTAGATCGGGCGCTTGTGATAAACTCTTACGTAAGATAACCTTTGTAAATATAAATCAAATACTATAATGTAATACGATAGAAGGGATAGAAGTACGAAATAATCCATTATTATTAATCTTCGCTGCGGTTATTTTTTTGTCCGAGCGACGCTGGGCTCGTCTCCTAGTTGATAGACTAAATATTGACTATCAATGTAAAATTTCGTTGTTAAAATGCCGGTCGTATAGTAATTTTGACTAACTTTTGTACCGATCTGCAGATTCTCCGTACCCGATAAATGTGACCGTCGTCAAGCACCTTAAACCTGAAAATAAAACACTT